ATGCAAAAATGTTTCTGGATAAGGTTTGATTTCCAGTTAAGATTTGGGCACATATGTGTGCTGTGTTTTGGGGATGAGGTATTATTTATATAAGCACTTTTTAGTCTGAGTAGTTCTTTCCTGTCTTGGTGCATACAGAAAATCTTTTACCCCTGTATAGTGTGCTAGCCTAACAGTGACATGAAAAATTCACCTTGTTTCCTATGAGGATCTCAGCTTCTTCTGCAAATGTGAATGAGTAGCTCAGTTTCATTGCACCTTCAATCTGTCCTTGATCTTCATTCTTGAACTGAAAAATCTGGCCAGTTTCTTAGGGCTGATGGTAACTTCTGCAATATTCACTCTTGTTAGTGTGAAAGAAGGGACCCCTGGTGGCCTAGTGGTTAGCATGGAGGACTCTCACTGCTGCGACCCGGGTTCGATTCCTCGGTCCCCCGGGCAGATGGAGCCCGTTAGCCCTGTGAGGCCATCCACCTATGAGAAGGTCACTCTAAACAAACCTACGTCCTGAGGACCTCACTGCCATTGTCCAAGCTTGCTTGGCCCCGGCAGATGAACCTTGGGATTAAAGGGTGGGCTCAGTTCAGCGCATGCTGTGTCTCACCTAAAAAATCCATTGTGCAGGCTTGAAAGGTAAAAGACCTTTCCCAAAATCTTCATTCGCGAAGACTGGCCATTATAGTGTGAAAGAGCAGAGACCTCAAGCATGTTTTACTCTGCGTTTTGGTTTTGGTTTTGGTTTGGTTTAGTTTTTATTTCAATATTTGTAAGATAGAGATTTCCCATTGTTGTGTCTGAACCTTTTCATATGTTAGCAAATTCCACTCTGCTTTTCTAGACAGTGAAGTTTTAGACTCAAGAAATGTCTGGCTTTACTGGCAGGAGCTGTTTCCAGGGGAGGTGATGATACAGCCAGCACAGGAAACACTGAGCTTGTCGCTTGTTTTTGGCACTCCTCTTCCAGACTTCCACAACCCCTCAGTAAAACCTCACAAATCCATTTTCATAGTGAATTTATTCATTCTTATGAAGAGCTTCCAAGCGGGCGAGAAGCTATAGCTCTGTAGTTCTTAAGCTTTACTCAGCTAAATCACATTTAATAGCTTCAACATCATACAATATCACCACCTTCAGAGTCATGTAATCCAGAAACTTGAAGTCTGTGAAGTCAAGCCAAAGTGCTACCAAAAGGTACTCTGGTAGCTGTGAAGGAAAGCAAAGCTGGAAGAAGGCAACAGTGCAGGACACCTGGTATTGTCTGACCCAGGAGACAGCCAGAGCTTGTGAAAACTCAATTTGCCTTTCATTCCCAGAACCTTAATGTAGCAGAGGCACTGCACATTTGTGGACCCAGATGAGATACTCAGTGATACAGAAGTTGTTGGCATTGCTGTATCAGTGCAAACTTGTAGATCACAGTGTACCGTGCAAGAAACCAGGGAGGAATAAGGGTAACAATTTTTGTCACTGGATTTGTAATGGATTTTCCAAAAGCAGTTCCTTCAAGATGATGTTTTTGTGATACACAATTGTATTTCTCCTAAGTACTCCAAGTAATGACAAAACTGCATGGTTCCTCTTTTCTGTGGTATCAGACAGCTGATCGACAAGGCATGATGCTTAATCATGGAATTTCAGAGAACAGTATGTTTTATAATCAGGATGTGTTGCGTCACAGAGGACAAGAAAATTTATAATTTTCATTTTACAAATTTTAGATACTGACCTAACATATTTCCCTGGTTTGCAGTTTTCTGGATGTATTCAGTAAAGATAGCAGTGCCTATCAAGAGAAGATACCACATAGAGTATTTGCCTACACTACCTGTAGCTCCGGTGGTTGGGAATGATATGTGTGAATCTGCTTCCAAATTTGTGTATTTTTTTTCAACACTTTGTAGTGCAGCATGCAATCAAAATCTCATTAGTAAGAAGCAAGTCTTGAGCTTTTGTGTTTCAGACTTTCTTTTTAAAAAGACATTTCATTTTGTGTCGTAATCTCTTTTAGTGAAGTTCATTTGAGGATCCTGTTCCCTTTATTTGCAGATCTTGAAAACACAGGCCTGCACCCTGAACTCACACAGGTATTAAGTTAGGAGCCACCTTTGTTTTCTTGAATGGAGTCTACTTGTTTTAGCACTGCTGTGAAAGCGTAGTTCCCTCTGTACTTTATTATTGCTGAAGAAGAGGCAGCGGGTTGGGAGTGGAGGGACAGTCCTTTTGTACAGTACAACCTGTTTTCAGCTGGGATGCTTTTATGAGCCTAACCATTGGCAGAAAGTCTTTATCATTGTGAACATTGTGCTCAGGAGGTAGAGAAGCGAGGTGTTTGCCTAGGAGCCGTCCTTTTCCTAGCCAAATTGAGGAATCAGTGAAACACAAGTAATGAAAATACAGATAGGTGTAGAAGGGGACATATGAAATGGCCATGGGCTTAGGAATTTTTTACTAACGTTGTGTTTTCTGTTTCTTGAAGAACTGATGAAAAATGACTGCAGGCATATTTCTTCTCTCATCTGTATTAAATGCTCGTTGAATTTTGTGGGTTAAGCTTTTTCTGACATTTGTGTTCTGCCTGGAGTACACAGAGCTAGCTAAAGGCTGGACAGAGTTCAGGGAGGGGGTTTCTTAGTTTTTTCCTTCTGCTTTATGATGCTTCATAGTAAAATTGTTCATTTTCTCTCCTTTTTGTGTGGCAAACAGGATTCTAAACCTACCTCTGGTTTTGGTTTAGAGAGTATTCCTTAAAGTCTCCATCAACTGTAAATTTTTCTCCACCTTCACTGTGGAAAAGTGGCAGCATTTTGGGGTTAAGAAAAGAGAAAAGATTTTAAAAGAAACTAACAATGACCTGTTGTAAAGTCAGTGCAGTGAAACTGCTGCTCTTATGCATGTTTGAGAAGAACAGAAACTGAGGCCTTTTGAGATCTTATTTAAGTTACAATTGCAACAGCTTACAAGGCATTGATGAGACGTGCTGCTTGAGGATTTTGAGGCTGTTGATGGAGTTTTACTGAAAATCACTCTTTTCTTTGTCAAGTAGCAAAAGCTTCCCTAAGTCAGAATTTTGAGTTGATGCTGCCTGTACCCTTCATTTGTCAGGTACAGAGGAAAAACAGAAAATTGGCAAAACTCTCATTTTTTAAAAGGAAACAGGAAGCCTGGAGGTTGTGTTGTTTCTTTGACTTTGTGAAGGCTGTCTTGGAGAGAGGCTAAGTCTCCATTTTCTGTCCTCTCCGTGAGTATAGTAGTAGGAATTTGGGGCAAGGAGTGGAAAGAATGAAAGGTTACTAGCCAGAACTAAGTAGGAAAGAACAGGGGTCACTGGAAAGCTATATAAAGATGGAAAAAGTGATCCTAGAGCTTGGAAGATGAGACAGCTACATGTGACGTAAAGCATGTAGGGATGTGTTGAAATGCAAAGCAGGCATTTCAAGATGATGCTTTTTAAGAAGTAGGAATAATTTCCACAGTGGCATGCAAAGGCTGAGTTTAAATGAACAAGAACAAAAAAAAAAAGGCATAACTGAATCAGAAAAGCATGCAGAGCGTAACTTTTCTACAGCACTTATCTGTACTTTCTTGGCTTGGTAAGTGTTGCCTTTGAAAAAATGAACTGTTTGCCAGGAAAGTTACTGTGATTGTCTGTATAATTACACCGTGGCCTCAGTTTGAAAAATACCAGTTAAGTTTGGAGTAATTTCTGGAATGTTTGTTGGATGCTGATTACACTTAGCATGAGTAGATTTCTGCTATGACTTACAGAATAGGAAGTGGTAAATATGGAGAGCAAGAGGTCTCTCTCCTAAATCCTTTCTGTGGTGACTAATTAGTGAGTTGTGTTGTATATGTCTAGCCTGATTAGGGAGAAAAAAAACTGCTGCAGTTTTTCAGTCCAGAATTTTTAAATGACATTTACAGTGTTTTCTGCCCACCCCCACACCTTATTTGTTTGATTTTTTTGGTTGGTTTTCTTTGCATGAGAGAATAGAAAAAGAAAATAATAGAATATATATGCAGAAGCTGGATGGACCTTTATAAACATGATACTTATGAAAATACCTTCATTCTGTTGGATCAGCAGATCAAACTTTGCATGGCAATTCAATATATTCATGTACTGCAAATCTGTGACTACCTGGAAAAAATGATAGCATAATGTTTTAAGTTGTTTTTCTTAATAAAGAAGAAAAGTTCATGTGATCACTGAACTGTAGAACAGTAGTTGTTGAGGGAATAATAATAATAATAATGGCCAGTCTTTGCGAACGAAGATTTTGGGAAAGGTCTTTTTTTACCTTTCAAGCCTGCGCAATGGATTTTTTTAGGTGAGACACAGCATGCGCTGAACTGAGCCCACCCTTTAATCCCAAGGTTCATCTGCCGGGGCCAAGCAAGCTTGGACAATGGCAGTGAGGTCCTCAGGACGTAGGTTTGTTTAGAGTGACCTTCTCATAGATGGATGGCCTCACAGGGCTAACGAGCTCCATCTGCCCGGGGGACTGGGAATCGAACCCGGGTCGCAGCAGTGAGAGTCCCGCATGCTAACCACTAGGCCACCAGGGGTCCCCTTGTTGAGGGAATAAATGTATCCTAAATTCTAATAAATGATTCTATAAGTATTCTTTTTTTTGGGGGGGTGTCTTTTTTCTTTTGTTGGGGGAAAAAATTTAACACAGTTCCAATGTCTCTGTAGGTGACCATATTTCCTTTCAAATCTGATCATGGTCTATGCGTTAGCCTTCTTGCTGAATTCACTTTGTGTGAATTCTAGTTTGTGTGGCCAAGTGATTTTTGTTGTTGTTGTTGTTATTGTTGTTGTTCTGGACCAAATTCTAATGTGCTCTTTGAAACTTCTGCAAGTCTTTTGTGAATGGTCGTGTAAGCAAGTGGGGCTGTACAAACTCACGCACTGGTATTGCAGCAGCCAAGGAGCTTGGTTGTTGACTGCGCACCCAGTTCTCTTGTTACTCTCAACAACTTTTTTTCCTTCCTATTAGGAGCAAATATCAGCATGACTAGAGTCTGAGGAAGGGCTTCTTTGTTCCTACCAGGAGTTTGCGGGTGCAGAGGAACAGCACAAGCACAGCAGGGACACTTTAAGCTACCATGGATACCTCCACCGATTTGGTGCCGTCCTCCATGATGTCCCAGCCTGAGGTGATTGAGGTGAGTAGGCCAAAATGGAACTCTGGCAGGTAAACTAATTGAACCTCTTTCTTATTTTCTCATTGAATCCTAGCTTTTTCTCCTCTCTCATTTCTGAGTGTCACGGGAATTTTTCCTGAAATATTGTATTAAAGACACAGGTCATTTACTAAGAATGTTGTTATTCTTTGACACATGATATTGCTGTGTTATACTGCTATTTGTAGAAGAAAACATATGGCAAAATATGATCTTTATTGACGCCATGGAGATGATCACTCTGCTATAGTTTGATTTTTTTACTGTGCCTAATAAATACAAAGTAGAGGGCTGTAATATGGATAAATTGGAATAATACCAAAGGAAAAGTCAGGTTTAGTGTTCTTACCAGAAAAGTTTTAAGCTAAAACAAGCAATAAAATTGATAATACACTTAGAATTACTAACACACTAATCTTGCTTTCACAAATCCAAGTGTGTCTTTCAGACTTCATATTTATAAATATCTAAAAGATTTCTTTAGCTCTGTGTACTGAACACCAAGTACTTGTGTATTCTGATGAAGTAAAAACGACAAACTGAAAAGGAGATTTTCATAACAGTGAAGATTTCATCTCAGAAAAGTATTTTCAAAGTCCTCTTGACTTCATAGAGACCCAAGTGCCTGTTACAGTTTAAAACTTTTAAGGATGTGTATTTTTCTGAAAAGGGCCCCACAACTGATTAACAGAATACCTGGTAGGAGGTGGATGCTGAATGCTTCTGTTCCAGGCTGCCTAGCTGCTGCCAGACTCTTCTCTCCCTGACCATCTCTGCACATGGTCTGCAAGACACTTGCACCCCTGTCTCCATTGGTCATCTCTTCAGAGCCTTCTTTATGTATGAGAGATTTGTGTATCTAAAGATTGTTGTTCAGGACAAATGCCTTCTCAAAGGGAAAATAAGATCAGCTATGGTGTGAGAATGAGTGGAAGAAAAGCTATCTCTTGTGAAGGACACGATGATCAGCAGAGTCACCATTCTGTTGGGTTGAATAAATGCACATGTCCTGGATCTGTAGGGAGTTTTGGCTGAATAACTTTTGTCTGGACTTTTATCAGTAGGCCAAAGACTAGAAATCAATAGATGTTTCTGATCATTAGTTAGTAACCGAGACAGCTCTCCCTCCATGCTTGAATTTTGGAGACTGTGTTTCAATGAGATTTGTCTTGGGACCCAAAAAAAAATGACAACAGGAAGCAAAGGAAAGACTCGTATCTCAGTGTGGAAAATTATGGTGGAAAAAAGTATCATTCTCTCAACCTTATGTTGTAAAAATAGGCTCAAAATTGATTCTGTAGTTGAAGAGTTACATTCTTGCGTGAATTCCCACAGATATCAGTAAATCATTGTGGATCTGATGGTTGATATAAGTCTTCAACCGTATGTAAAAGGGTAAAATTTTCAAAGAATCAGCCGGGAACCATGTGTATTTTCTGAGGATAAGGAAGACCTTTTTAACAGATAAGGACATAGTGAGACACATATAAAGAGACAATCATTGGATGGAAGTATTGAAGTAAAGTGCTGTTCGTAATGTTACAGGTTTGCCTTTCATATTTGTGTTGACATACGAATGAATTTTTGGATATAGTTTAGAAAACAGCATTGATTAAAATACTTTTTTTTTCCCCAGAGGACATTATTTTTGCCTTTTAAAACTGAGCAGATGCCACAGTGTGCTGCAGAAGACATTTAGAGACTAATGTTTTAAGGAAAGATTTTTTTTTTAAACTTGGAAGTAACCTTGCATGCTTTTTGCATGAGCTAGATGGCATCTTAGTTACAAAAAGAAGTGGTTTGCTACTTTACTTTAAACTGTCTTTATTTTTAACCTTTTTTTTAAATCTTTTGTCTTTAAACTTTCCTTTAGTTTTGCCAGGATAGTTGGCTTTCTTCACATTTAGTCAGTTTAAACTCAGAAGTAAATATTATCTATTTTGTATACCCATATATGTACGTGTGCATGTATGTATACATTGCACTAATAAATACTCTTCTGCCTATCATCAATCATTTTACCGCACTGAGCAAACAAGAACAAATGCTTATTTACCATGGGAGGGACTTCCAGAGACCTCAGTAGGAGGTTTTGCAATCCAGAGCCCACCCTGACAGGTTTTTGCTTGAGCTTTAATCATGCAGATGCTCGTGGTGGTACCACGATAAGGGAAGTTCCTGCTATAATGTAGTTGCAAATGGTTCTTTTCCCAAGATTTGTCTTCTGAGTCAAGTGTCAAAAGATTCACATTTTGAAAAAGTTTTTGAAGGTCGCTTCTCAATACCAGATGTGAAAGTGTTATTACTGTCTTAAAATATTCTTACTGCTAGTGTATCAACATAAAAACTGCTTCTGGTGCTCTCCACAACCCTGTATTGAAGCCACAGTCGTGTCTCTTCATCCCCTCCCAATGCAGTGACCTATCCAAAGCTCTCATGTTCTTTCCCCGCCCCCCAACATCTTGTTACCAGACACAAGTGGTGACTAAGAGCACAGGCATCTTGGTCATGTGTAAAGGTGAAGGATAAGTAAAGTTCCAAGGTAGTTTAGCTGTTCATAGCTGAGATCTGAAACAGAAAATAACCAGTGGGAAAGCGTTCCCCATATGTCAAAGAAGTCAACGAAACAAAAAATTTTCCAAATGTGCTTTGAGTTTTTGGCAACAGGGTTTTATTGCAGGGCAATAAATTATCTCAAATAAATCACAATAAATCACAATATGTGACTTATACAGATTTCTGATTAGATATGCCATTTTGTTCTTAAAGAGAGAGAAATAAAACGTTAACAGAGCTTTTCGATTTTTAAATTGAAGATATTTTGTGGTACATGTTATGACTTCATACCTCAGCTATGTGTAAGCAAAATGATCTCATAGAAACCTGACTAGTCTGATAATGCAGTAATCAGAAAGTTAAATCATTCTTGAAGAAGCATTTAGCATCCCAGAGGGCTTTGCTGTTTGCAAAAAAGAAACATCACAAGTGGTGATCTAAACTGATGAAAGTACTCTGTGAAGTGATTAGCATCTTCTCTCTTTGTGCGTGGCATGAGATGAATTCTGTAGTAAAAGCTTTGAAGAAGAAATGATTTGAGCTCCAGTTGCTTAATGAATCAGGGACTTCCAACAGTGCTTCAGAAATGCTTAAAACAAGAAAATAACAAAAATTCATCATTCTTTCTTTGCTTTTGCCAGCAGTGGATCCTACCAGCCAAATACTAGAAGTAAATGAGTACATTTAAATAAATACCTTGCAGCTGTTCCAAAGAGAAATCCAGAGCACTTTCCATTATAGTGGCCTTTCATGGCCAGAGCCAGAAAACATTTCTCCCACTCTGTGCCACTGAATACTTTCTATTTTCTTCTCTTTTTGTTTGAATTGGAGTGGAAGAGATTTAAACTATCACTGCCACAGAATGGTCATTCTTTTTATAATATACTTGAGAATAGACTGCTGTGGGATGGCACAGCTGTTGTGCTGTGTTGTTTTCCCTAACAAAGTTCCAATAAGATTTGTGGTTTGGATCTGGTGCCCAAATTTCTGCAGTCAACAAATGTGTAGATTTCTTTCTCCCCTTTGAGCTGAGTAAACAAATAAGCCTCTTTACCAAAACAGATCTATGGTGGTGATGAATAAGGTAAATGGGAGAGCAAAAGAAAATGGTGAGGCTGGTAGAAACAGTTTAGAATTACATTAGAAGTATATATCAGAATAGAAGTATATCCACCTAGTTACAGACATCATAGGGGAAACTAAAATACCAGTATGTTTTGTGGGTTTTTTGATTCTTATACTAGGTGAAATTACTGGGGGTTCAAAACACATCTCAGTTTTGTTTAAGCTGACCAGTGCTGCCTTATAGGCAGCTGCTCAGTACTGTATGAACGAGTTACTTACAGGGAACATAATTGTCTTCCCTGTCTCCCACAAAGCCACAAGTGGTTGAGCTTGTACCTGTGTTTGGCTAGTGTTTGTGAAGCTCAGCTTGTCGCGTAAGCTCTCCCAGAAGTAAACAAATCTTGAAGAGGTTTGCAGAAACCCTTTCTGTATTCTGTGTGGGACACTTGGGTACAAGTAGCCAATCTGGGGTCAATATGCTCTCCATGTGGCAAAGCCAATTAGCTTATTTTTGCAATACCTCCACATTACAGTGGTGATCTCCCTTGAGAGAAGCTTGGAAGGCAGAGATGAGTGGCAGAGAAAAAACAAATCTTTATTAATTGAAGTATATAAGGCATCCTAGCAATATAGGGGGAGGATGTGATGATGTAGAACTCTGACCTAATTCAAACAGACTTCATTTCCACCTCAACTAGAAAATATTCATAAGATGTAGGTAGTACTTGTGAGGGACAGAGCTCATCTGAAAATACTGGATCTGTGTAAAAGAGCAACAATATAATAGTGTCTGAATTACTGGGTAAGTTGCAAACAGGTGAGTTTACTGTCTTTCTGTTGGTTTTGTTTTTGTTTTTTCAGTTCTTCTAGCTTTCAATATCATAAATCTCCTTTTGCTTGCAGAATTCCGCAATTAAAGAAACTTCATGTGCAGGTGTGTGTGCAAGTGTGTGCAGGTGCATGCACGCTTCCTTTCTGCAGCAGTAGAAAATGGAGAAGTTGAAACCACAGAGCTCGCAGTCTGGGGCCTTGTTGGGCCAGCTCAGTGTGCTCCTGACCGTTACTGCTCTTCATTAATGCTCTTGTGTTTGAACAGGGAGTTTCATGGCTTCTAATTTGTCTATCCTCAAAAGATGTAGGGCTGATTTCAGACCTGATAGTTAGAGACCCTGTCATCTTCCAAAAGAAAGGCATTTTTAGAGTTAGCTGGACTTCCTGAATTGACACATTCCTTTTTTAACTCATGGAAGCTTTTTTGAACTTGCTTTTGTAGTAGTCAGCAGTGAATAAGCTCTATGGAAGGTCAACAACTTCCCTGGTTTTATAGTCAGTCTGTGGAGGTTGTAATCATAGTTTCCAAC